TTGCCCTCCATGGCCACAGTTGACTGGAATGTCACCTGATCCAAGGGCAGCCACACTGCACATTGGCCAGAGCCTTGTGGGTGGCCTCACAGGAGACATTTACCCAACAGGGACTACTTGAAACAATGGGTGGTTTTGTTGGGGACCTCAAAGTGGCAGAATCTCTGTGCATTCAGCTCTCCCAAAGGCAAGTCCTGCATCTTCCTCTGGGGTGAGGCAGTACATTCCTGGCTGAAGAATTTGGGGAGCAGGTGGGGGAAGGTGCCTCTCTAGGACTCCTCTTGCTGCTTTTCCCACTGCTCAGGGACACTTGTGCTTCAGCCCCTCACCCTGCTAAGCCCCCATCGCTGATGGATCGTGCCCCTCCCCAGGTTACACATGCCCACCCTGGATGCATCTCCCTTCCTATTCTCCTCCTGCCCTCTGTCTTTGTGTCATCCTAGTGGAGGATTTGCCAGGAAGTTCATATAAACATATGTATTTAATCTTCCATGTTTAACTGGAAGTTTGTATTGACACTGCTTGGGCTTCGCTGACCATCTTAATCTGTGCAAATCCCATTGCTTCTCTCAAGGGTCAAACACCAAGTCCTAGGCTTTGCTTTGATTGGACGGCCTACCCCACGGTCCACAGATGGCCTGCCTTGATTGGCTGAGGCCTGGGTTAGGTGCTCATCTGTAAACCAATTGCTGGGGCAATAGGGATGGGCTTGCATTGATTGGCTCAGAACTCTGAGTGCCTATGTGAGAACAGGGGGGCCCTGGGGGAATGTTGGGGGGATTCAGAGGGGCAGTTCAGCAGGAGGGATTCAGGGGGCTCAGAGGGGAAACTCAAAGGGAAGCTGAGTGGGGTGGGGCTCAGCAGGGGGCTCAGGTGCCACTCAGAGGGGGCTGGGGGACTCAGCATCGTCTCAACCACACGGGAGCTTTCAGATTCTTTGGGATGACTTTTCCTTTGTGATGACTCCCATCCTGCTTTCTGCTTTTGGGAGTCCTGGAGACTGGGCTGCTGTGGGACCCAGACTCCTTTTTGGTGGCGGCCAGCTCTGCCTGCCCTCCTGCCCCCTTCCTGCTCTGCAGACTTTCTCCCACTTTCTGTGCAGGGCAGCCCCACAGCTGTTAGGGTGACATCCTCGGGTCAAGCCATGGGTGTAAATGACCCTGTGTCCAGCATGGGCTACACATCCATCCCCAGCCCCTAAGCTGGAGGGGGGGGGGTCTCCTGGTACAAATACAGCCTCTGAGAAGCCCCCACAGAGGAGGCAGTTCTGAGGGCACCTGTCTCACTATTTCCACGAGTTCCAAGCTGGCTCACCTGCCTCCTGTCTTCCTTGGCTGTGAGTCCCTTCCTGCCCACTGCCTCCAGGTGAACCTTCTCATAGTATACCCCTGTCCTCTCCAGCCCTGCTATCTCCTATTCCCTCACGTCTGTGTCTGTCTTCCCTGTGGCCTGGAGAACCCAGTGGGAGCCCAGGACACCTGGGTGAGGGTTGGAGGTAGTGAGCAGCATTCCTGGGGGCTGGGTCTGCTGACTCACGGCATCAGGTCTCTGCTCCTTAGGCTTGCTAAACTGCTAAGGAGGGGTAGGAGAGGAAAAATTCTCCTTTGCCCTCTTTGGGCCTCCAGTTGGGCCTAAGAATTAAACTGACATTAACAGAAGAAAAGTATACAAGTTTTATTAAAATTTTTACATGTACATAGAGAACGAAGACCCCAAAAAGTGACCAGAGCAGAAAGCTTATACACAAAGAAACAATAAATTTGTGAAGAATTGACAAGACCAAGGGGTTTGGGCTAGGGAGAGTAACTTGCTGAGCAGTGGCTAGGAAGATGAGGGTTGGTGTAACAAGGCTCATTTGTACAGATTCGTCTTGGCCTCCATTCATCTCTGGTGATAAGAAAGTCTTCCTTCTTCCTGGTACAGAGGGGGCATCTTTCACACAGGAGTTTAATGTCCTGCTTTCAGGAATCAAAAGGAGGATCAGAGTGTCCTTCTTGCACCTGCTATTTCTCAAATGTCTTTAATTCAAAATAATCAATAAGTCAAAGCAGCATATTGAGGGGTGACATGCTTTGAACTCCCTTGGATGCCTGACCACCTGATCAGTGGCCCCTTTGGAGGCCCCTTTCCTGTGTTGGCTGTGGAGACTCGAGTTGTATTTACAGTGAAAACAGCCCTGCTGCCCTGGCCTTGGCTGACTGGACAAGGGGGTGTGGGGCTAAGGCTACTGCACGGCTGGGAGCCCCCTGGGCTGGGCCTCCTCAGGTATGCCCTTTGGCCAGCTTTCATTCTGCTTCCTGTGGGGTTCTGCTGTGCAGCCAATGGGCACCTTAAGTGAGCTGAACAAGGCTCGAAGGTGGGTGGGTGCCCGCCTTGCCCAGTAGGGGTGAACGTACAGTGCTAGGCCTTGTGTAATGGGCAGCGTTGCTCCGGCTCCGTCTGCAGAAGAGCTTTTCTTCTAGGGCCCAGCACACGAGGCGAAGCCTGGGCTCCAGAGCTGCGCCCCTCACACTCCTGTGGATGCTGCCTGCGTAACATGAGGGCCTCTTCCCTGCAATCTTTTCTATCCCCCTAATTTTGGACTTACAGAATAGTTGCAAGAAGAGTATACAGAATTCCTGGATACACTGCATCCTGACTCCTTCAATTTACTTGCCATATTTGCTTTATCCTTCATATAGATAGATAGATACATATAGATAGTAAATCTGAAGCTTTAAGAGTAAGTTGCAGACATAATGTCCCTTTATCCCTAAATACTTGTGTATATTTCCCAAAAACAAAGAATTCTCTTCCACAACCATAACACAATGATCAAAATCAGGAAATTAAAACAGATACAGTACTGTTCTCTAATCTGTAGACCTTACTTAGATTTCAGCCCATTGTCAAACCTCCACGTCCCACAGTCTGCAGGACGCCTTTAACCCACCATGATCTCCCCTCCTTTTTGTCATGACTGAGAACAATATACATAATCATCATTGTTGTCACTTGTTCAACATCTACTATGACTATAACGTCTTATCATTCCCAGCAACATGCCCATGGAAAGGGTCTTTTTCCAGTTTTACAGATGAGAGAGAGAGAGAGACTCAGAGAGGTTAATGGTTTGTTCACTTTTGTGGTTTTGTGGTTTGTGGCAGTGCTGGGACTGAATCCAAGTTGGGTGACAGCTTGGGTGATGGAGTGGAAGGTGGGTCTTGCTTTTCAGTAAGAGAGATGGATGAGCTTGGGGAGTTTGCAACCGCAGAGACCGAGCGCGGCTTCCTGGGCGATGGAGACTGAGCAAGGCCAGAGAGGAAGGGGAGAGCGGCCAGGAGTGGAGCTGGGCTTAGAGTGAGTTTGTTACATGTTTTGGTGTTGACATGTGCCTCTTATTAGCGATTTCCTTAACCTGAATCTCAGTTTCTATGTCTGTAAGGTGGTAATAATGTCTTCCTCTGTTTTTGTGAGGATTAAATGAGGTAACACACGGGGAGTGCTTGGTGTAAGGGAAACTTCAGGACAACTACTATTATGTGTCAAGCGAATACATTTAAATCTATTTGAACCAAGCACTGTCCTCCTGGTCCTTTTGTACAACTTTCAAAGGAAAGGGGCTCCAGGAATTTTGTTCAGAAACTACTCTCACGTGCCCCCTATCGGCAACTGTGTCAGTGCAACCGGGTCGGGACTGCACTGACAGCTCCCAGGCATCTTGTGACACTGCCTGGCACACTAGTATGCCCACATATGTGGGCTGGCCTGGCATTGGCCAATGTCTGTTCTAGTACCAAAAAGGAGTGGATGTGGAAAAGCCCTTTCCACCCTCTGCACTTGGAGAGAGGGAAGAGGGTTGGTGAGGAAGGTGCTGAGTGAAAGGGCAGGTGGTGGGAACTTCCTTTAGCCACAGGAATATTTAGAGCAATGGTTCTCTATACTGCTGCTCCCCAGGGCATATTGGCAATGTCCAGAGACATTTTTAGCTGGGTGGGGTGCTACTGACATCTAGTGGGTACAAGGCCTGAGATGCTGCCTACAAGGCATGGGCAGCCCCCAGCAACAAATTATCCAACCCCAAACGTCAATAGTGCCGAGGTTGAGAAACTCTGATTTAGAGGAATATTTAGAGTGATTCTATTGGTCCTTCAAATATACCATCTCTTTCCCATCATCTCAGATCTGACTGCTTCTAGCACGATAGTGTAACCTTACCGCCAACTTCCAAAGACCGAGGTCCTTACTTGTGTGTGTGTCCTCCAAGACCCTTGCTGATTACATGATGTCATTTAATAAACAAACAACAAGCTAGATGTGGTACGGGTGGAGCACTGTGCCTCATTCATCCCTATCCATTGATAAAGCATTTTTTCAACATCTCAGGCAAAATGAGGTTTTCCAAGTCACTGTGCATCAAGCTGCCCCTTTTGAGGTGAAGCGGCTCTGCTACTCTGCGAGGTCAGCGCTTGGCCTCCTGTATCTGCGCTTAGTCAGACAGTTGCTTTCACAGGGGCCCGAGCCTTCACCCCTGCCGGCTTGCGCTGAGGGGTCCTGTGTGACCAGGATTCGCTCCCACACGGCGGGAGGAAGGCATGAGGCATCAATCATCTGAAGATGAGAGGCATGCCTTCACATCCCCGAAGGGGCCTGTAGAAGAAAAGGTCCCTGCCCTTCACTCAAGATTTGATTTACAAAACACTCTCCAGGAAGGCAGTTCGCCCATAAATCAAAGCCCCTCGTGTAGGGTTTTCAAAGCACTGTCGTGTGGGTGCTACTCCGGGTCTCACTGCTCGGAGGGCGGCCCGGGAAACAGGGACGCTCCCCGAGGCCTCAGCACGGCCCAAGACGACTCGGCACGGCCCGGGAGGCTGCAGGACAGCGCAGAGGGGCAGGGCCGCGCTCCCGCGCCCGCCCCGCCCCGCCCCTCGACGCGCGTGTCGGCCGCTCCTTTCTGCATCCGGGGCACCGAACCCTCTGTTCGATCTCGGGCGGCGGCCCCTGGCCGGAACCGGAAGTAGACCCCGAGCCGGGAGGAGGAAGCCGGCGTCCGACCCGTCAGCAGCCAGCGGCGGTGCGAGGGGCGGCGGCCGCGCTGCTGCCTGCGAGCCGGCCCGGCAGCCGGGCGGGCGGGGGGCGCCATGAAGCTCTACAGCCTCAGCGTCCTCTACAAAGGCGAGCCCAAGGCCGTGCTGCTCAAAGCCGCGTACGACGTGTCCTCCTTCAGCTTCTTCCAGAGGTCCAGGTGAGCGGGGTCGGGTCGGGTCGGGTCGGGGGAGGCCCGGGATGGCAGGAGGGTCGGGTCGGGGGAGGCCCGGGATCTCCGGAGGGTCGGGTCGGAGGAGGCCCGGGATGGCAGGAG